ATAGGGGCATCTACCCTCGAACAGTTAACTACACAAGCCATTATCGATTACCATACTATTTCCTGCAACTCACCTTTACCCTTTTATTATTTATCTTTGTTTCCCTGTCTGGGTTTCGGGGTCCCATTGTGGGGGAAACAAGAATAGACCCACTACCTACCCAATAAGCATGTCGTAAGAGTCGACTAATTGAGCACTTCCTTCGACGTCAGATTACATCTGCACGAGCGGCAAGAAACAACCAAGTGCACACAAATGAACCAGTAAAACGGGTGTACACACAAAACTCAGGCCCCGGCACAAAGCCAAAGTCCAAATGAATGAACAACCAGGTCTTTATGTCGGAGCTTACAGCCGTGAACGAAGAAGATTTATCTTAGTCCCTAATTATCTGCTATGTATGGTTTTATCGGTCTCTCTCCCTCTCCATTTCTTTGTCGAAGAAGAAAGTTTCTGGTCTCACCGTTATCAGATATTTGCTCAGTGTGTGCGTGTGTCCTATCCGACGCCAGCATCTTGTCCTCATCTGTTGGCGTTTTTGTTTTCTTGTCCATCCTTCGAACCCTTGTTATTCATTGCTTGCTGCAGGTATTATCCGTCTCTATACATCTCTGTTACTGTTTTTTTTTTTTTTTTATATAGTAGGGGACTCCAAGTGTTTGTAGACCTACCTAAATAGTATCTCTCCATATTCTTCTTGGTCTACCTTGCTGTCTTCTCTTGTTCCTCTCTTTTGTTTACGTAGTTTTTGTCTGTCTGTTATGTGCCGTGCCATTCAGCAGCCGCCATGATGTAGTGGCTAGATGCTTGCCTACGCATCTGAATATCGTGGGTTCAAATCCGAACTTGTTCTTCTTTCTTCACGCATGGCTTTCCGGTCGACCAAGCCTTAAATGGGTAACAGGTAAGGTCGTGGGAAATAAAGGCTGCTGGCGAGATGTCATCCAACGAGTGCAGATGTGTCTATACAATATAGTTATAGGTTCATTAGGTGCCCAATTCACACCAGGGCGTGGAAAAGGGTTCTCCCTTTGTTCCCTGACAATTGCTGTCTATTAGCCCTAATAGTGTCAGTAATTAATTGTGATTTACATAAAATGTGAACTTCGTTTAGGCTTCTTATTCTTTATTCTCCACTATTTTCATCTTTGATGAGTTCACAGATTTGCCGTAAAACTTTGGGTGTCCCCAACAGTTTTGGATGAGGTCAAATATGGCCAATACAGTAAGGCCAAGACACTGATAGATAACTTCAAGTGACACAGTGAGGGTCCTTACAGTTTAAAACAAACTATCTTTCAAGTATATTATCTCTCTATTATATGATTTGTTTGACGGGGTATAGAGGAGAGAATGAATCACGTATCTATATATCCCAAGTGCGCTGTTAAAGTGGTCCTTTCCAATGCACCTCAGAAACCCGATTGTAGTGTTCAACAGCATTGTATTGTGACCTAAAATGGTGAAACTATGGGCTTGACTGCAGTCAAGCTAATACAAGGAATTCCAGAGAAATTTGACTAAAAAGCTCAACAAAATGGGAAAGAGGAAAACGTGCACAAAACAACACAACCTCGTTTGTGTAGTTCACTAAAAAGGCTGCCCGGCCGAAACGTTACGTTGTGTTGTTTTGTGCACGTTTTCCTCTTTCCCATCAAATTTCTCTGGAATTCAATTTATTGTGACTTAGTAAATGTACATAGTCCTGTCGTATCACCACCCACTTGCTAGTTAACTGCATACGATGCTTCATATTAAAACTTTAATTAAAAGTGTGATAGAAAATGCAATAAAGGATGTCAATAGATGACGCCATGGCGTCCTCTTCTTCTTCTCCTCGTCCTCCTGCTTCTTCTTCTTATTTTTTTTAACGATTCACTGTTGATATTTTATATACGTGTTAAGAATAATCCGTCTTCCATTCTTTGTTTTATATGTTTTTCTTCGTCTTATTTGCCGATAAAAGCTTTTCGTCGCAGTGTCACTTTTTAAAATTGTGTACAGCTGACCCACAATTGCTTTATTTCGTTGTTTGGTAAACAATCACCGCTCAACGCACTGTTTACTTATTACAAATAATCCCTTGCCCGTTCTGTTATGATTCATTTGCTGATAAAATCTCTTTCGCCGTAGTGTCCCACTGTTTTAAACTGTATCCAACTGACCTAACACTGCTGTTATTCAATGGTGTGATAACAAATGACCGCTTTATGTCCTGTTTACCGGTTTATAAATAGTGTATTTAACCGGAACCAGGGACGCAGTAGTCGCGTTTCGTTTCGTCATTTAGCTCAACCCCCAATGTTGTTTGTTGTGGGAGAGACTAGCACAAACCGCTTCCACGAGTCGATAGACCCCCAGTCACGTCACGTCTTCTTGCTGGTTTCTGGGTTAACCAGACACAAGTCCGTTCCTGGCTTAGATAAGGGCTTAATTCTCTCTTGGCGGACAGTGTTCATTTAGGTTTGTGCAGGGCCAAAGTCTTATTCTTACTGGAGTTTACTTAAACTGTACTTTTACTTTACAGTTAAATATTTGCGAGTGTGACAGGAGTCTTGTCTAACCAACGGTAGAAAGTTTAAACAAGGCAGTTTCATTGTTATTGTTATGATTTGTTTAGGTTTAGGTTAGGGTTAGGTAGGGAGTGAGATGTCCAACTGGTGAAGTGGTTACTAGTGTATGTTTATACTGTAGTGTATAATACATTATTGTGCGAGAAGCTGTAGTGTTAAATAATATAAGTACGGTGTTCTGTTGTGACTACACCACGGTGCCTCCAGCTGAGTTTATGATGAGCTGAGTTACTACAAGATGTGATTACATCATCTTTAAAGGAATACTGCTACAACTGAGTTATCATTGTAACAACAACCAGTACTCAGAATTGATTGATTTATTGGAATTACTGATACTAAGTTCTGTAACTAACTGCTGTCAGTTACTCAATTGATGCAGTCATTGGTACGGTGTTACTGCTACAGTCATTGATATTACTGATACTGAGTTCTAATTACTGCTAGTTACACTTACACACAGTTACGTTATTGGTACAGTGTTACTCATCCAGTCATTGATATTACTGCTACTGAGTTCTGTTACTAATTACCCCTAGTTACACACAGTTCATTCAGTCATTGGTATTGGTGTTACTGATTCAGTCATTAGTATTACTGATACTGATTTCTGTTACTAATTACTGCTAGTTACACACAGTCGATTCAGTCATTGGTACGGTGTTACTGATTCAGTCATTGGTATTACTGATTGATACTGAGTTATGTTACTAATTACTGTTAGTTACACACAGTCGATTCAGTCATTGGTATGGTGTTAGTGATTCAGTCATTGGTATTACTGATTGATACTGAGTTATGTTACTAATTACTGTTAGTTACATACAGTTGATTCAGTTGTTGGTACAGTGTTACTGATCCAGTCATTGATATTACTGATACTGAGTTCTATTACTAATTACTGCTAGTAACACACAGTTAATTCAGTCATTGATATTACTGATACTGAATTCTGTTACTAATTACTGCTAGTTACACAACTGAAGTCATTGGTATCGGTGTTACTGATCCAGTCATTGGTGTTACTGATACTGAGTTCTGTTACTAATTACTGCTGGTTACTCAGTATTGTATTGACTCTGTCACTGGTATTCCTGATACTGAGTTCTCCAACTTATTACTACTATTTATTCAGAATCGATTAGGTCCTTGGTAGTACAATACTATTTAAATTATGTTACTAAACTTGTTGCTACTAGTACTATCAGTGTTAAGTTAATATTTAAACATTAATATTATGTTGTCGTCATATTCTGATTCCATATGAGCTGTGATGCCAGTTCCCTTCCTTATTGCCTATTGTTTCCAGAAACTTCTTTAAATTGCCTACCATTTTTTAATGTTAAAATGACTGCTTCACACATTGAGTGTCGATGGTCTACACAAATACTTCAGTATGGATACAGAAGTTGAGTTTTGTTTCCACATCCATTTTACAGATCTGCCTTATTTTTAAGTAGACTGTTGGTTCCTACAAACAAATTTCCTTGGTCATGTGATGAGAAAAGGAGCACTGGAAAATATCGTGACAACTGGAAAGACCACTGGCAGCAGAGGCAGCCCAAGAGAAATGATAGTGAATGACTTCAGACAGTGGCATGGAGCAATATCATCAGTGGAATTGATCCAGAACACCAAAGACCAAGATCTGTGGCGATGCATGAGCACTTAAGCTACCTTGCAAGGCACAGGCTGATGACACTGAGGTTGGTTCCTAGCCTCTGAGGCTGATGCACTCCAACTTCAAAGGAAACATCCCTAATTAGTTTACATTTTTACACCATACTTGTTTAGAAAGCAGTGGGCCTATTCCCCTTTCCGAAAGAAAATAGGGCCCCGGAACCCAGACTGTAAATATTCATAATATATAGATATCAGTTCCTAGCTAGCTTGCATAGTTGGTTAAACCTGACTTCAGGGAAACTGGGTGACGAACTCCTTGTAGTCCGGGTCACGCCCAGGGGTAGACAGAAAAGCCACATTCTTCCTAGATTTATGGTATCTATCATGGAATCAAGGTCGAAGGGTTGCAATATCCATAGTACCGAGCCAAAGGGTTAACAACTCATGGTTTCTGTATACTTAAAAAAAAAATATCAGTTGTGTGTAGATTAAGCTGAATTGTAGATGACATTTTTACTTATTTAGTGAAAAGCCTTGATTGAAGTCATTGAACTTGTACAAGAACTCGATGCATTCAGAGGTCATGTCTGTCAACAGAACCCAGCTCTCAGTGGAATTATCTGACCTGTCACTGCGGCTCAGACATTCTTGACTAACAGATATTGTTAGTCAGTCTTGTGCAATTCATCTTCCTGGACTGTGTTATCAGCTGAGACTATCTAGCGGATTGTGTACAGTTAGTGAACTTTTCACTGCTGTTGTCAACTTCGCCGTCAGTGTCATTTCACTTGTCGACACAAGAAAATGAGGATTTCCCTGCGTTGTCTTCAGTCCTTGAAGACTTCTCTGGCCACCAAGAGTGTGCTGGAGAAGTACGCTAGCTTCAATCCATCGCCTCTGTCGCTGAAGAAGTTTGTGGAGTTTGGGAGGATGGGAGCAATGGAATGTTAGTATTGTTTGTTGTTGTTGCTGTTGCTGCTGCTATTTGTGATGCTTCTACTGTTCTATCTAATGTTATTGGCGTTTTATTGTCACTGCTGCTGAATTTGTTGTTTTATTGTTGCCTCTGATATTACTGCTGTTGCTGCTGCTATTTGTGATGCTTCTACTGTTCTATCTAATGTTATTGGCGTTTTATTGTCACTGCTGCTGAATTTGTTGTTTTATTGTTGCCTCTGATATTACTGCTGTTGCTGCTGCTATTTGTGATGCTTCTACTGTTCTATCTAATGTTATTGGCGTTTTATTGTCACTGCTGCTGAATTTGTTGTTTTATTGTTGCCTCTGATATTACTGCTGTTGCTGCTGCTATTTGTGATGCTTCTACTGTTCTATCTAATGTTATTGGCGTTTTATTGTCACTGCTGCTGAATTTGTTGTTTTATTGTTGCCTCTGATATTACTGCTGTTGCTGCTGCTATTTGTGATGCTTCTACTGTTCTATCTAATGTTATTGGCGTTTTATTGTCACTGCTGTTGCTTTTTTTTTTCTGTTGCCTCTGATATTACTGCTGTTGCTGCTGCTATTTGTGATGCTTCTACTGTTCTATCTAATGTTATTGGCGTTTTATTGTCACTGCTGCTGAATTTGTTGTTTTATTGTTGCCTCTGATATTACTGCTGTTGCTGCTGCTATTTGTGATGCTTCTACTGTTCTATCTAATGTTATTGGCGTTTTATTGTCACTGCTGCTGAATTTGTTGTTTTATTGTTGCCTCTGATATTACTGCTGTTGCTGCTGCTATTTGTGATGCTTCTACTGTTCTATCTAATGTTATTGGCGTTTTATTGTCACTGCTGCTGAATTTGTTGTTTTATTGTTGCCTCTGATATTACTGCTGTTGCTGCTGCTATTTGTGATGCTTCTACTGTTCTATCTAATGTTATTGGCGTTTTATTGTCACTGCTGCTGAATTTGTTGTTTTATTGTTGCCTCTGATATTACTGCTGTTGCTGCTGCTATTTGTGATGCTTCTACTGTTCTATCTAATGTTATTGGCGTTTTATTGTCACTGCTGTTGCTTTTTTTTTTTCTGTTGCCTCTGATATTACTGCTGTTGCTGCTGCTATTTGTGATGCTTCTACTGTTCTATCTAATGTTATTGGCGTTTTATTGTCACTGCTGTTGCTTTTTTTTTTCTGTTGCCTCTGATATTACTGCTGTTGCTGCTGCTATTTGTGATGCTTCTACTGTTCTATCTAATGTTATTGACGTTTTATTGTCACTGCTGCTGAATTTGTTGTTTTTTGTTGCCTCTGATATTACTGCTGTTGTTGCTGCTGCTGCTTCTGTAGTTGCTGTGGTTGTTACCTCTAATGTAACTGCTGCTTGTGTTTTTGTTGCTATTGTTATTGCCTCTGATCTTACTGCTGTTTTTGTTGCCTTTGATGCTATTATTGCTTCTGTTGTTGTTGGCTCTGATGTTACTGTTGTTAATGCCACCGCTGTTGTTGTTGCCACCACCGTTGTTGTTGCCACCACTGTTATTATTGCCACTGCTGTTGTTATCAAGCAGAAGAAGACAAAAATACTTGACAGTACTATCTATAACATGTCCTGTTTTAAAGAAACTGCAATAGAGTACCCGCTGTGTTTCTGATTGAGCCAGTACTGTTGTATAACCTAGTATAAACGTTTTAAAAGTGTTGATCCATTGCTGAATGAACCTTTATGTTTGACTTGAACAAATGTTTGAGCCCATAATTGAGCTTCCCGCCCCTGCCCCCTGGTATGTTCAGGAGTTGTTCATCTTTTAAATTTTGTGTGTGTTGACAGTGGTGATTGTAGTCTCCTCGTGATCCTGTACCAGGTCCTTTGCATAACGCGGCTCTCATCACTGTCTGCCTAAAGACTCCAGCTCAACGGCCTCGTGTACTTTCCTACCCAAGGTGTCATTTATAACTTTTGCCTGTCTTCGTGCTGGTCGGCCTCTGTCCCTCTTTTCTGGTACCATGCCTTCTGTTGTTATTATTTCCAATCCTGTTGTAAATGTAATGTATTCAAAGAGTGCTTCGGAAAATGGAAACCGCAGAGTGGCTTGCATCACTTGATTAGAGTCCAGTCAGGAGTAGCATATCATGGTTTTGTTTTCTGTCTAGGATTTTTGTCGGCTCTGTGGTTAAGTCGACGTGAACGCTTCGTAATGCTTGGTGCCGGGTTCGATCCCAGCTGCGGGCCATGCGCCTTGCATTGGTTTTGACAGTGGTATCAGGGGGCCGATCTTTCAGAAGCGATGGCAAACTACTAGACGTAAATTTGTCTAGAGAAACCACACAACAGCCAGGGGCTGCTGGGGGTTGGTTCTGCAAAGTCCTGTAAAAGATACGCAACTAACCTAGGATATTTAGGTTTGCGAGATAACGAGCAGGTACAAATATTATATGATGCCGCTCCTCTGGGCGGTGAGCTGCTTTATGATAAAGCGGATATGGTAAAGCCTGGGATCGAAAGGAGAGTGCAACAGATCAGAAAGTCCATAGATGGAATGACTTAATCAACCGGGGGAAGGGAAAGGGCGGTGAGTAGAGGTTCTGGAAGATATACAGCACCAAGGAGAAAACATGTGGACTTGTCATCAGGTTGCAGCTGGCACTATTAGCATATTGACTCTTTGTTGGTTACTGAAGAGGGAGACGGAGCACGTGTGGGAATATCCCCAGTACAGTGATGTATGTACATTCTGGATTCATTCATTCATTGTTTCCAAACCACCATAGCGCTTGACGTGGCCAAAATATTTCAAATTTTCTGTGTCTGGAGGTACTTGGAGGATTTATCAGTATAAAAACTACAACCGGCTAGTTATGTTTTCACTGTCCCTGTTTTTCCTGCTGTAGTCACACCCCGTGTCAGTCAGAGTGTGGTTTTGGTTCTCCCTCTGCTGATAACTCTTGGGTCTGTGTTTGTCCGGTCGTGGTCTTGTCCCTATAGCTGTAATCCCGAACCATTGAGCGACGGGTGGTGGAAAAGGGGGGGAGGGGGTTGCTCTGGGTACCTTTTTTTATTTTCTTGAGGACGGGGTTAACCTTGTTTTAAGTACGCAGTGATAATAATATTATGGGCGGAATAGGAAATGAATTTAAAATAATATAATCCCTGTGTGGGTTCAGGGTGTTCTTGTTGGGAAAACAAGAATAGAACTGCCTCGCCAACAAGCATGTCGTAAGAGTCGACGACTAATTTAGAAGCTTTCGTCGAAATCGGAGTGCCTCTGCCCAAGAGGTAAGGAGCTAGCAGTCAGAAGTGGCTGAACAGCCAGAACTGTCCAGCGCAATTACAAACGCTGAACGGCAAGAAGAAGATAATAATAATATATTGAAATATTGTGAAATGTATATTTATGTACTGTTGTCCTAAAAATTGAACTCTTGTACATAGTCGGGACCTTATATTCTTCTGCCTTTTTAACCCCACAATGGAGCTTAGGCTCAGCTCCCAAATCACGCCATGTCGTTCTTTCCTTCGCTGTTGCATGCAACTCTCCCCATCTTTTTGACTTCTCTGTCTTGCTCCCTTTTCCATGTTTGTGTGTGTGTGTGTGTTTTTTTTTTTTAAAGGATTTTCTGCGGGATGGTGCAACCAGTTCGTCTTGCCTTAGTCGCCTCATGGGACACGCTCAGATTATTACGGTTCTACGTCTTTTTTTTTTTTTTGGCTTCCGGTAACGCATTGTCATGCGGCAAAGTAGTAAGTAAATTTGACCCCACCAGTACATTAGACCGAGCGACAAACACCCGGTGACACAAAATGCCACCATGCGGATGAGGGTCACCCGTGATGAGGTCCCAGGAACCGCGTTCATCCGTTATTCTGTATTGCGGCCCCTGGCAACAGCCGGGGGTGGGGCTTCAAAATAACGAAAAATGGCAATCCACATGGGGACAACGATAATTATACAAATATATTTTGTTTTTATAAGGAGTAGAAAATTATAGGGAAGAGAAAAAGTTGGTAAGAAACAACAATTAGTTTATGTTGTTAGCTTTACAAAATCGATCACAATAAACAAACAAAGGACGTTGCGGCGATTAGCATTCATCAGCACATAAAGGACAACACAGTACACATACACAAATAGGCTCTAACTATGAAGTGACTACATAGGACTCTAATGTAAAGAATAAATGATACTCATCTAGTGTCCCTGGCGAAAAAACTTCGTTCAATGAAACGACGGTCAGCCTATATACCTCCAACGCGCAGGTAGGGGCAAAAATTCGGCGTATCTCCAGATGTCTTAAGTACTGTAACTGACACGTCGTTGACTTGAAGCTGGGAAAGAGATAAGGTTTCTTGACAAGCAGCCAGGGCTGCCAATTGGATTTTTTTTGAAAAACCCAGCTTAGCTGAACAAAACCCCAAGCAATACATAGACAAATAATAAAAAAAAAAAAACCTCCAGGTTGTTAAAATTATATTTACGAAACGAAACATTTACCACTTTTTTAAAGGATATATTGAAAAAAAAAACCAGATTTTCTCACAGGCGTTAAATAAAACCCAGATCTGGGGGGGGGGGGGGAACCCCAGCATTGGTAGCCCTGCAAGCAGCGCTGGTTTTGCCACACTCTGCAACGGGGTAAAGTATTGGCCGGGCATTGACCCGCGTGTGTGGCACCACACAAGCTGGCGATAGTCCATTTCAGAAGTCGTGCGCAAATTAAAACAAACATGATGGAAACGTTTGTGGGTGTTTCCTCCCCTTCACCGAAGCAAGCAGACGAGGGACCTCCTTACTTAGTATTCCTAAAGACAACATTTGGCGCATAACAGCCGAGACAATCCCTCAAAGAGGCCCTGACACACATTTAACACAGTACCTGTGGAAAAGTAACAAAGAATAGGATATATCCCCCCGCCCCTTTTCTCTCTCTTTCCTCTCCCCCCCCCCTCTTCTCTCTCTTCCCCCCCCCTCCCTCCCTTGTTCCCCTTTCCAAATTATATTA